GGAGGCGGGAGAAGGACACAAGGTTGCCAGCCCTTCGTGAAAAAAGCCCGTTCCTTTCGTTGCACAGTTTTGTTGTGAATTGGCTGAACAGATCATAAAACCCTCTCCGTGTCCTGCCAATGTCACGATAGGGTGTAATGCAATAGGGAGCCCTAGAGACTGAGCCATTAATGAATGAAGTGTCTAACATCCTAAGCCAAAGCTATGATTTGTACCCACTGAAGTGGACAAAAACAGCTCATCTCTCTCCACCTCCCCCAAAAGAAAGCTGAAACAAAGTGGTCAGCGGGGTCGAGAATCAGGGAGAAAAGTGGCTGTTTGGGCTCAGTTTTCACTTTGCACTAGAGCTTGCTTGATGTCAGAATCACGTATCGCGTCTTCTCTGTACGTAGCGAGACCTCAGCCATGTCTTCCACATTGATATTCCTAACACAGAAAAACTGAGAGGGAAAGACAGGGCCGAGTCAGTTTAAAGAGAGCCGGATGCCCCCGATATGTACCCACATCTCTCTGCTCAGCAAATCAGGCTGTCTGGAGACTGAATGAGAGCGTGTTCCTCTACCACAGAAGGTCAGTATGATAAAAATAACCCCCCAAAGCCTACATTCAGCTTAGAAGCACAGTGCTGAGCTAGGGACAATGATAATAGGAAAACACAATAGTTCCTCAGAGCAGCCCTAAAATAATAGATTATAAATGGGCAAAGGAGGAGGAGAAGGGATGGAGGGCTATTTTATCACAATTCTAAAAGCATTCAGAGGAAATAAATTGGGATCCATCTGACAGTTCTCGAAAGCCAAAATGTGCTAAATATAATGCTGAATTTCCCTAAATACAAAACACGTTAGCAAGAGTCCATGGGCCAGCAACTTTTCAATATCTGTGCTTTTTTTGCCCCCTTTTCCTTGTTTAGCCTTTGCCCCATGATGGTTATTTGCCTTTCTGGAGAGCTTAATCAGGAGCTATTAGTGACAGTCACTCTCTAAGCTGTATAATGTTAAAAGTCCATTAGCTCACCCCAAGCAAGGCTGGCAGGAGGGAGATGATGTACTTGCTGAAGTTGAACAAGCTATTTGCATGCTGAATATTTCTAATCACTGAGCAACGCCAGGAGAATCTGAATGCTATTGCGCTCAGCTGCCCGGTGACCTTTCGAACAGACTCGCTTTAATGCAAAACAAAGTGGCAAAACATATCCAGCACTAAACCTGCAAAAAAGGACAGATGGAAGTTTTTAAGCAATTCCAGGCACCAACTATGCACACCTTTAAAAAATAATAATTTGAGAAATAATCAGCAGAGTCTATCTTCCCCTTTCCTTCTGCCACCTTCACTTGCACTACGCATGGTTACTTGTCCTATGCATGGGTTAATAAAATATGATAGCTGTCTGCTTACTTTTGGTCTGATCACAATCAGCTTGATCCAGCAAAGCACACACACTTAGTTTCAAGCACATTTTTCAAGTTCCAATGGACTTTAATGGGATTGGGGCCCGGCCCTGTGACTGTCCAGCCCCAGCCACCACTGCCATGGGCATTCAGCACTATACTGCAAGCAGATTGGCGAGACACCTAAATAAACCTTCTTTACAGAAACGTTTTCAGAGGTTGAAGCTGAGTGGAGCTGGGTCTAAGCACCAGTCACAGCCTCTGGAGAGCAGAGCAACACAACCTTCAGGAATCTCTGGCCTTCTAAGGCTTTTAAGTAGTCATTTTTCCCTCTATCCCCAGATTTACCAGAAAATTTAACTAGTCAGTCAGGGAAAGTCCGAGAATTTAGATCAAAATTAGAGCTATTTCTCACAGTGACAGAAAGACAACAGAAAACCAGACACCATTAAAAACCAACTCTTTCAATGGCTTTTGGGGATTGGCTTCTATTTTTGGCAGAGGCTGGTTAAATTTTTTATTTTGCTGAATCTCCTGCAAAGAGTGACTCTCATGCTCAGTTGTAGTTTTCTGGTTAGAGCACCAACACTGCTCCAGGTTGGAGTATTGGAAAACGTAGAGAAACCAATTTATGACAGCCAGCCAGAAGTGACTAAGGCTTCACGTAACATGAAGGAGCAGAGACTGCAGGCTTTCACAAAGCTCTTGGGCTGTTGTTCCCTTCTGCTCTAATTTGAGTACCCCCCCAACACAGCACAGTACCCTTCCACTGGCTGGTGGTTTTGTCAGCTCTGCAGCAGCTCAGGTGTCCCCCTGAAGAAGTGACAGGTTCTTCAGGGTCTCCCAGAACTGACAACTGGAACCAGTCAAATTAGCTGCTCCTCTCATTGCGCTGCTGGCCAGAAGCCCTATGGAAAGAGCAAAGGCAAAAGCTTCACCCAAGAGTAGGATGCCCAAGGAGGCTCACACTGACAAATGAAGTGGAGCCTCTGAGGGGCACTTTTTCTTCCTCCCTACCTTTCTGATGCCTCAAGGCCAGACCCTCCTGGCTGGGACTCCCCTCCCTTTTAACAGTGTAGGAGGCAGTAATATGCAGACACATAAAGGAGACCTCCTACACTTTTACACAAGCAGCCAGCTCCTCACTAATTGTCCCAGTCCTTTTGCAACATCATCCACCAAGAGGGAGAAGCCAGCAGGAAGGAGGTAGCTAATGGGCAAAAGAAAAAAAAAAAAAATCTTCCCCACAGCAGTGGGTACAGAACTGAAGCCTCCATTGAGACACAGGCTCACAGCACTGACTTGTCTCCTTCCCTCCTACTTGATGTCAGTAGGGAAGATGACTACACTGGTAGTTTAAAGCAAACCCCCTCTTACTCCAGTGTTTGTCCGATTGGCCAAGTCTTTAACCCCATGGGGCTGGGTGCTCTATAACACTTGTGTGAAGGACTTTCAGGAACTCCCCAACAGGAAAAGCACTGCGGTCACCTTGACACTTGCAAGGGGTAGTGAAGAATAATAGGTCATTGGTATCTAAACCCACTCACTATGAAATCCCACATAGAGACCTATGCATTTTACAAGTCCATTGTAGCATATACTCAAAGGCAAGAGGGGACAATAGAAGAGGAAGAAAATAGAGCCTTCTGTATTCTCTAATATACAAAGCACACATCACCTCTCTGGGCTGGCAACCTGCTTCATTAAGTTGAGCTATAGTATGTGGAAAGGAGCAAATACTAGACTGAGATTCCAAACCTACTGGAGATTAGGATTCTGCCACCCTGGAAGACAGACAGTCCAGGCAGAGGATATAATGTTCTCTCAGACCTACCTGGGAAATTGCTTTCCAGTCCAGTAAAAAGCCAAGCCTCCTCTCCCCCACAAAAAAAACCCCCAAACAACACACACACATTCTCCTCAAAATGCAGGAAGAACAAGATGGATACTTTTCAAAATGTTTTTTAATTAAAACAAAAAAAAAAAAAGGAGCACACACCAGAGCTTGACATGGGCTAGCCAAACTGCTGGTCATTGGGATGTTGAACTGGCATGAGGAAGGCTGTGTTTCTGCATAACCCAGGAGCGCCGGCACGGACACTGGGACTCCCAGGAAAGTAGTCTGCCTGCCAGGCTACTGCTGCTTTCTGCTGAGCAGATCTCTCTCATGTGGTGATGGGAAACTTCATCCTGGAGCCCAGACTCTTTTTCGAACAGGCGGAAGTCCCGGAGACTAGGGAAAAGACCATTTCGATGAATCTGCGTTTTCCAAGCACTTCTGGAGAGGATTCCCAGTTGGTTCTCCTGCTTCCCCTGGCAGGTTACACTGGTTTAAATGGAGACTCATCTTTGGCAATAGCCACACTGGTAGGACCCAGTTCTGCTTCCACTGAAGTCAATACATGTCCTTCCCTGGACCATAACCGCACAGCTGCACCAGGGCTCACGATCACTAGCCAATTGTGCTTTAAATTAAATCCTCATCCACTCCACCTAGCCGGCAACTTCTGAGAGCTTCTTCAGGCTCGTGTAAGTGTGTACCAGTAAATTCAGGTAAATGTGAACATCTTGGCTACAGCAATGGGGTGATTTTTTCAAATATGCCCAAGAGATGGAGGAACCAAAGTTTTGTTTTAAGACATGACTTGGGCACTAGATCAGGTATTGAAACCTCCTTGCCATCTAACAAAGCAGTTTCCAAAGCTGCTGGTGTGTTGCTCCACCAGCCTGGTTTCTTACCAGAAAGGCTGGGCTAAAAAAGTGACACATTTTTCATACACAATTTTTATCTGTTAGAATTTACTAAATATGCGCCTCATTTGTCTGTCAAATATTTAAAAAATACTTCAACCTGCTCTAATAATCACATTTTAAAACATGCATCAAGTTTGGATCAGAACAGCTTCTCTGGGATAATCAGTAAGCCCAAATTGCTGATTTAAGGCCTAAATATCAGTCACTGGCCAGCCAGCCACAAAAAGCCACTCTATCCTTGAACTCTTAGAATTATTTTTGGCTCAGACTAACCCTTGTTACCATACATCTTATCCTACACACAAAAGGAAAGCGTATGTGTTTTTCAAGGCTACTGTTGCACCACAAGTTTACATACAAACACAACTTCTGCAAACATGAGACCAAAGTAAGATCTCATATGTCCCAGGGTAAGTCAGAAAGTCCACAGGAGTCAAGGGAATGGTAACTGCCATAAAGGATCAGGCCTAACACATGCATTACAGAAGAAAGGTAGCTCCTTTGCTCGAGGTCTGGCTGATTCACTTTGCACATACCACTGCTTTAGCATTACATCCTTATCTAATGGTAAACCTGTTTCAACAACATGCAATACATATTAATGCAATATGCACTGCAACACACAATACGCATCCAAAGAAATATGCCAATGCAAAAATCTGACTTCTCACACATAGCAGGGCTAACAAGGAAGAGCCTTTTACAAAAGACAATCAAGAAATCACCTGAAACCATGAGACCCGAGGGGCCTCAAGCAATCTGCAATACTGAGACCTAATGATAGATGCTATTTCATGAAAGAAACACAAACAGTGGGACTGAGGTAATGGCAGAGATTTCATTAGTGCAATTAACACATTTATAATGGTATGTTCTTTAATAGAATTTAAATAAGGCTTTGAATAATTACACACACTAAAACTAACATTCCATAACCTTATTCCGCACGGAAAAGCAGCAGAAACAACCCTCTGGACTGTACAAGGTCCAATTATGAACAATTACATTCAAAAAGTAGATCAAAACAGAAATTTCCCAAAAGCTGCATCATCATCTTTGAAGTCGACTTTCTCCCCTAGTGTGAGAAGTGTGAAGAACTGATGAACTGGGCTTCAGCCCAATAGATTTGGCCTCGTCAAAATTACCAGTAGTGCTTTCCAACCCAGAGTCTCTCCTCATTTCTTTAGGGTGATGGAAGCTTGTGGAAAAAGAAGTGAATTTCTGAAGCAACGGAAGGTGAGTTGTCCCTTCCCCAGGCCCAAAAATGTACATAAATTATGGAAGCTTGACAAAAAATCTCCATTACACTGTGGCATGTGTGTTTACGGTGCATGTTCTCCTTTAGAAACTACTCACAGACAATGGGGCTGGGTGGGTGAAAAAAAATCAAAGCAGCATATGAAATAGTAATATACTGTTTCAAAATCTGCATCGTCCTGCAGAACCAGGAATTATAATTTATTCAGATTGTTCTCAACAGATCCAATCTACGCTGGATATGTAAAAAACAAGAGACTAGGTCATCAAGGAAAACCAAACAAAAAAACCTGCACACTGCAAGAGTTTTTAAAAATGAAACAAAAGAAAAAAATCCCAAGAAACATTGATGAAAGCTCAGAAAAATTTATCATCAATTCTGAAGTGAGGCCTTGTGACATCATCTGGGTTAATGAAGACAGAGATGGACTTCCCAGGGTTCTCAGTCACTAACTGTTGCAACTTTTTGGCTAATCGATCATCAGGCTGGTTGGTGTCCCCTCCATCTGACTGTGGGGAGGGGATGCTGGTGGTGCTGCCCCGCCGCTGAAGCTCTAGTGTTAGCCGGTTGGCTGCTTTGACATGTTCGATGGCAGTTCGAAGGTGTTCGGCAGGGTCTGAGCGGACTGAGGACAGCTTCCGCGCATGCAGCATGACTGTTTCTTCAGAGAGATGCTCCAGCATGTTGCACTGGGGGATGAAATAGTTAGGGCACATCTTGTTGACCAAGCAGTGCTGGAGATCATCAATGAGACCCAGGAGAAAATGGGCTGCGTAATCCTCCTGGGCCAAGTAGTTGGCAGGTAACCTGTCGCAAGCCCACAGCATCATGCTCCGCAAGTGATATGGACTAATGGCTTTGGGGCGGGACAGCAATTTGATGATGATAGCTTTGCAGGCCTGATACGCTTGCATGAGGCTGCTGGAGATGCACTTTTTCAGCTGCACTTCACTTCTGGCAAATGACAGCCTCCATTCATTGTCCTTCTTCCCCTTGTAGGAACATGCAGGCACTAAGTAAAACCCACTTATGACTTCCTCCTCTGTGATCTTCCCATCCCAGAAGTGGTTCTCCATCAGCCAGCTCTGGGCCACAGCTGGCCAACCTTTGAAGGACACCACGGGGACAATGTCGTACAGCATGCGGCTGCTGCCCACTCCCAAAATGATGGATATGATAGTCCCATTCTTTTCTACCTTCTCCACCTTTGGCATCCCTCGCTGAGGCTTTTTCTGGATCTCGGAGAGGACAATGCTAATGGAGTCATAGAACCAGTCTGCAACTTTTGTCGGAGAGAAGAAATAATTAGTAGCTCCGTTGATATGGTCCACGATCGTGCAGCAGTCCTTCCATTTGCTGATAGTTCCTTCATCGAACAGACGCAGGCTCAGCCAAGAGTGGCACAAAGCTGAGTGGCGCATGTCCAGTGTGACTGGTTGGTTGCGGTCATGCAGCTTCAGTGCAGGCACAAGCAGGGTGAAGTCCATATCATAGTCTGTGCCTCGTGCATAAACATTCAGCTCATCAAGATCAATGTCCACCACACCTTCCCGCACACCACCTGAAAGCAGCAGGTACTCGTTGGCTACAGGCAGCTTCTGGTCAAGTTTCTGAACCATGCCTGCAAAAGAGAGAGAGAGAGAAGTCCTTTCAAGAGAAGGCCAACATACCTGGGACACAGGATTTCACCAGGATTAAAACCCATCCCATGCCCAGCAGGAAAAATGCAACCAGAAGTATCTATCACTGTTTGTGTAACACGAACGTACACCAGGCCCAGCACTCAGCCAACCTTTAGGCCCACCTGACTCAGGGCAGGGCCTTTCCTGCACTCCTGGGAATGGGTGAAGTCCATCCTAAATATCATACTGGAAGCAATGGAAAAAAGCAGAAGTGTCTGGTAAAACACAGCAAAGCTACTTCCAGGACTAAATTTAACTTCTTAAACACCTTCTAAACCAGTTTTTCACCATATTGTCGTGCATTTCCATGGTATCCAAATGCTTCTCTGACACTTCAAAAAGAAAATAGAATATTAATTGACTCACTGTTCTTATTTTCTCACTGATGTAAGAAAAAAGCTAGATGGGCATCAGGGTGTTGGTTTGTGTGTGAGTGAATGAATAGCTACAAGTGCTAGTTCAAGCAGGTCTGATTTTACAATTTGCTTTACATTTACTGATGAACAAGGCAACATGAACAAAGGTAATACGTCCTTCTCTTATGGGGGGATGGAGACAGGTTAAACTATCAGGCAATTACAGAAGCCAGCTCTGAAATTGGTTCTTCAAGCTGTGATGGTATCATGCCATAAAATATTTGATCAGCTCCCCATAGAACAGACATGAAGACAGATTTCTATTTTCATCACCAAAATCAGACACTTCCCTTCACCCTGCACTGCCCGCACCAGTTGCACAAAGCCAGTTTTTTGCTGTGTATGCTATATATATACCACTGTACTCTATACTGGAACAGCAGACTGAGAAGAGATTCTACACAGTAGCTGAGATATTAGCACCTCATTCAATGCTGAAATTAGGCTTAAAACTGAGCTCTGCACTTTGACTGCTCTGTAGTCTGCTTCTGCTGTCTGGGCTGTTTCACTCCTGGTGTTCATCTTGTAGTTAAACACTCTTGATTCCTTCCCAGCCTCAGTTCAGACCACGCACCCAGGCCACAAGGGAACTAAGGCCAGTGCCTCTGAACGGAGAAGCTGAATCTCTTGTAAGCACTGCAAAAGGGATACATCATTACTTCTTACAAGCTCAAAGGTACTAGGTTTTGTTGGTATGCGTTATTTACTCTACCTTTCAAAAGGCACTATGGTTTGTTTATATCAAGAGCAGTCAGATGGAGACCTTCCATTACTAGGAAGCCAGTCTTAGAGAGACAAAAGTGGGAATAACTAGCCAGAGGCATGATGAAGTGAGCCAGAGAGCTGCCAATCACACTGTCAGGCCAGGAACCACAGATACATTAGGAGTGTTTCTTTACTGAAATGCTACACAAATGATCAGCACCCGAGTCTGAGCACCCATTCTGGCACAGCCCCAGGTACTGCAGAGCCTTTCCTGAGTTAATGTATCCCCATGGGATCACCAATACTGCCTGAACTGAGCGGGTCTCCCTCGCAGAGGAGTGCAGCAGCAGCAGCACCCCAAGGTGCTAGGTGCTGCACTAGCCAGTGGCACTGCAGTGCTGTCGGAGAGACTTACCTATCCTTTCCTGCATGCTAGGACAGGGGCAAGGAAACGCTATTTGCATGCACACAGGTAAGCCACGACTGGAGCAAAATCTAAAGCCATGCTGACACTGATTCCTTGGAAGAGCCAAGGAGACTGAGGGAGAGGCAATGGCTACAGGAAACGATCCAATATATCATCAATACCTCTCTACCTGGCTGGCTGCAGAGTTTAAATCCAAACCCTTGAGCTCTGCCTGGCACAGAATTTCCCCTTCAAGGCCTGGACCAGCAACATCTGTAGCTCTGCCACAGAGCTAGGGAAATAATTTTTGCTAACAGATCGTAGCAGCATTGCTGATCCAATTTAAGCTGTGGAGCAGGGGGTTGAGATGAGGCCCCCTTGAGGAAAATATATTTAGAAAAGGCACAGAGTGTTCTATAAATAGTTGAGATGGCCAAATTCAGGATTCGCTATGGCTTTAGGGGTTTGCAATGTGTTCAAACTGCCCCCCTTATTCATAAATCTACTTGAAATGTCAAGAGATTTCAAGGAATCCCATTAGCCACCATTGTATGGCATACACTACCCTGGCACAAAGCTTGCATCCCAAGTTTCAACAGCCCAAACACAAGCTGACAGAACCACGTGTACGTACAACAGAAGCAGGCACTCCAGTTCTGCAAGCATGTAAGTGCAAATACAAAGAAGAAAAATATCAAGATTGGTACTTGACCCAAGTACTTAAAATAATTACACCAGTGAGCCATTTGAGTTCTCTTCTTTCCATTCCAGTACCAGTTCCCTCCATCTGGGAGCAGGAGGGAATAGGGATTACCTTGTGAAATTTGTAGAAGCCCTGCAGAGTTGTCTGTAAAGACCAAACCCAGAACTTGTAGGGTCAAACACACAAAAAAAATAATTTAGGTGAAGGACCAGGTCTCATGGCATCAAAGTAGGTTCATTGATACTTAAGAAGTCTTTTGCTGCAACCAGGCAAAACACATAATTTGCAGTCATATCTTGTGTAACATGTTCTTTTGAAAAGGTTGTTTGGCAAAGCTGCTATTTTGCTAAGTAAGAGATCAGTGTTCAGTTACCACTTCTGTCTAAAGCACCTTAAAGATGTTCTGTTTTCCTAGCTGTGTAAATAGTTTAAGACCTTCCCAAGCTATAAAACTTGACATAGTAACAGGTAAGTATGCTTACAAGCATGAGAAAAGCAGGGAATGTGAGAATTAGGAGCAGCACTTGTAGGTCAAGCTTGCTGGTTAGTTTACTAAACAGTCAGTTCAGAGTAACACAGGTGAGCAAATGAGTTCTACAGGCAGAATTTCATTCCATTGTTGTTCCTTCAGTAGCAGGAAAATAGGATTTATTTCCACTCCAAGCACTGTGATACAAGGAGAATAAAGACAGAGAAAACAGATTTTACTTTTACATAACGCCTACATTTGGGATACATCCTTGAAAGAACTGGGACTCGGATGCACATGACACAGAGACTATTCTTCCCATTAAAAAAAGGCAATGCAAAGATGCTCTCCATCCATTACAGAATTTCAGATTAACTGATTTCATGACCATTGCAGTGCATGATGGGATCTGCTGCTATTTCATGACCAGTTTTGTGTAAATAAGGAGGAACCTACAGACTTGTCTTTGAAGAAACTGACCACAAGAAAAAAATCACAAAAAACCTTATTGCTAACATACGCATTTCCTAATTTGGCATTCCTTCTTGAAGCCTTCCTTCCTGATGCCTTAGATACACAACCATTGCCACCAAAAGAAAATGTGAGCAAAGAAAGATGCCATTCTGTTAGTCTAACCTGGTCTCATCAAACCGAATGGAGTGATGTTCAGGGCAGTCACTGAATTAAGGGACACTGCCGCTGCATGGGAATTAAAAAGAGGTCAAAGTTGCAGTGGGGTCCTCAGAAAGACTCCACCAAGGAGGATTTGCAGAACCTTGCATGCAGAAGCATATCACAGGAGGTTTTCTGGGAGCCAAGCCAGACCCAAGTACTAGCTCTGCACTGCTCCTGTTCTCCAACTTAGACCCCAGCGTCTGCAGTAGCAAACTCCTTGCTCACATTTCATACCATACTGCTGGGGAGGATACAGTCCACACAGCGCACAGCCTTGATTTTCTTCCTTCACCTCTGCATCACCCACTCCTCCTGCACAGCCTGCAAGACTCCCTGTAAGCTGCTGGGACTGTGAGTTTCTGTAACACCCCTCTCCTTGCAGACTTTCTGTGCCAGGAAGGGTTTGCAAGCTGGCTCACAAAGCTAATGTGGTCCCTCACAGATCATCTTCAATTTCTTAACATTACAAATGTATTTATACATCACTAGCACAGGAGGCAAGCAAGAGGCTACTAAACCACAAAGATACCGTGGCCAGACTGCTGAAGACCTGTAGGGGCACGATGATCCCCAGTCATGTGTAAACGATGCACACAAGCTTATCTGTGGGGTATACAGCCAGGAGCTTGCCCCTTCTCTCCAGAAGGAAAAGATCCCAGGTTAATGGCAAGGGGCTGGCTGCAGCCTGCAGGCAGCTGTGCGGTGCAATTCAGCAAGTAAAAGTGATGTTAGCTGCTGCTCCTCATTACCGAGCTTCTCTGCTCACCTCTCGACTTTGCCATCTAATCTGATTTGAGAAGCAGCACAAGTCTGTGTAACGTCAGCTGTTAAAAATAGCTGCAGCGCAGAACAAACATGCCTGGTACCTGCCCTTCAGCCCCATACTGGAGTTCAGACGATGCCAGAGAACCCTCTCCAACCCCGCTCAAAGACCCAAAGCACGATGGGTTCAGCCTAGGGACAGAATGTTGTCTGTGAATGGTCAGAAGAACTGGGCCACTCGGATGCTTTACACACTTCAACACATGCACATGGACAGAAGGGAGGGAAAAGAGAACTGGACAAAACTAGAAATGTCCTTCTCCCCACTCCTCTCTCTCCCTCACACACCAGGAGAAACCCTACAGAATTAAAATTAAGATTTTCTCTAGAGAAATCCAACACCTGAACTGGCATTCTCACTGATATCTTCTTCTCCCTGTTCCTTCTTACTTTGCAGGTAACTAAATGTCCACAATAGAAGAGGTTTGGATGCTCCTTTCCTCAATCAATAGCAATGATGTGATGTTCTGGCACCGAACATCAGCTGACCTTGCATTTAAAGCGTGTCCTCTCCAAACCATTAGCTTGTGCTCTAGCAAAAGTCTCCTGTTACTTGCAGCCAGTCTTGCACAGACCTGACTATTGTCTTAAGCAACATTTTTTAGCAATCATATTGAAAGAAAGGTGAGCATCGTGCCCCTGCTATTGCACCCCCAGCACCTGGGAAGAAACACAGGTACATACCCCTCATAAAAGAAATCAGAAAGTCCCCACTGACATCGATAGGGCTGTATATTTAAA